AGACAGACAGGTGAAGAGATGTGTTGCAGTTTACAACAACAGCAGGTATTTTTAGGAAGCTATGGTGAGGCATTGTCCTCCCTCCCAATATTACCACATGGGGGCATCATGGAAGCCCCACCGGAGGGGTGGACAAGAGGAGAGGCCTCAGCTTACGCTTCAGCCTCTGCTAGGCAGGCCTAGCCCTCCCACACATTGGTCTTAGGTCACTTAGTTCCTCCTTCTGAGCCCCTGCCTGCTCTTTGCAAACGGATTAGGATGCTTACGGGACCCCATAGGCTTAGCGTGGGGAACGGTATGAGGCAAGTGCCTGGCACCCGGGAATCGCTCACAGATGTCACCTGTGATTTTCACAGCGCCAGCTCCCTTTTGGTCACCAGGCCCTAGCGGTGCTGCAGGGACCTGCAGAGATGACAAGAGCCCAGTGACTCCTGCGCTTTCACTCTTGGTCCATAAACTTTCTGTTGTTTTTTTTTTTTTTTTTTTGGTTTTTTTTTTGTTTGTTTGTTTTTGAGATGAAGTCTTGCTCTGTCACCCAGGCTGGAGTGCAGTGGTGTGATCTCGGCTCACTGTAACCTCCGCTTCCGGAGTTCAAGCGATGCTCCTGCCTCAGCCTCCAGAGTAGCTGGGATTACAGGCACGTACCACCAAGCCCGGCTAATGTTTGTATTTTTAGTAGAGATAGGTTTTCACCACGTTGGCCAGGCTGGTCTCCAACTCCTGACCTCAGGTGTTCCGCCCGCCTCAGCCTCCCAAAGGGCTGGGATTACAGGCGTGAGCCACTGTGCCCAGCCATGGTCCATGAACTTTCATCCTTCATTTTCAGCCATTCCTTTCTCACCTCTTAACATTGTCATCAAAAATCAGTAATTAGAGAGAGTAGGGCTCTACAGGGTAGTATGTCCGGGATCCCAGGCAGCTGTGTTTCATGCAGCCTGCCTGACCCCCTTGCGGATGTTCCTGTGACCTAACAGGTTTGGACAAAGACAGTTGCCACCAGAGGGCATTTTTCAGGCAGCATAGCTCCGCCTGGTGGTCACAGGTTTGTTACAAGGATCTGTGCTGCCAAAAAAGAAAAACTGCACTGCATAAAGATGCTCATAATATTTAATCCCATGTAATTTTACACCCAGGAATGTATCCTAAATGAAAAAAGGCAAAATGATATATGGGTGAACATGTTTGTTGCATTGTCTATAATGGCAACTCTTGGAAACAAACTAATTGTGCAGTAATGAGAGAATATAAATTGTGTTACATGAACATGAGAATATAAAGTCGCCGTAAAATGTTAGGTAGGAAGACATGGGAAATTCCTAACAGGCTATTAAGAATTCGCACCACTGAAATGCTGCGAAGGGATTGCACAATTTAAATTTTCATTTTCTTTGTGTAGTGACATTAAGGGTAATTTTTTAAATTAAATTTTGTCCTTGACAGTTATTTTGTCTTTTCAATTACTCCCAATCTCTTGAAGAAACAACTTAATCTTTTATCTAACTGTGGTATTGTCTTTCATCAGTATGTGATGATAGTGACTATTATAGTGACCTAAATGTATATAATGTGCATGTAAATATATGTGTGTGTATATGTAATGGTAGCATATATATATTATATATACACACAAAGTATTGGTTCGTCATTTATTTTATAGCTATTATATATAAAGCTTTCGCTATGGCATGAAAGACCACGTAATATTCTTATTTATGATTTTATTACGAGCTATAGAGCCAGATAGTTCTCTTTTGTTTCAATCTAGTGCTGTAACCTCCTATTTTTGCTGCTGCTTTGGAAAACCAATGTGAAGTTACAGTTATTCAAAAGACTCTTGGGACAGTCGTTGAGAGCAAATTGATCTTACTCGATTCTCTTACTCAATTTATGAACTGTGGTTGAAATTAAGCTTGTCTTATAAATGGTTCCAACAGCAATTTTGGTCTGCTGTTGTCTCAAGGATCACACTACATCCTACTGGTTTATACTCAGAAGTTGGTAGATTGGTATCTTTATATTATGTATGTCTGAGGATGTTCCAAATGCAGTGTTAATAATATTTTAGGTATTTTTATATCAGATGTGTGTGTATTATTCATTGTCAATAAACATCAGTTATTTAAAACTGTGCAACAGATTATAATCCTACTTTTGCTTTTCAAATTTATGCTTATGAATTAGAAATGTTATATTCTCTTGGCCAATCATAATCTGATTATTTGAAAATGTATTTTCTCAGCTCCCTAGATTACAGGGGTTTATGATAGTGGTGTCTGCCTTTCACTCCGAAGGACTAAGTGTTTTCACATGAATAGAAATAATGAAAGTGAAACTCCAGGTGTTGTCTAATGCTATTAAATTAGCGTACATTAATCTCCAGCTGAAAAGTGCCCAAATAGATAGACTTCTGAAGGTTTACTAGAGGCAACAGGATATTTATTTCTTTAGGGACTCCATTATTGGAACCGTTTCCCCTGGTGCCAGCTGCTCTTATTATCCAATATTTTCTACAGGCCTAGGGCTTACAACAGAGAGCCACTGGAAGAATGTAGGCATCACCTCTCATCTTATAATAGCAATTGGGAATTTGGGGATTGGAGCTATATGTGCAAAAAGTGATTACTTTGCCACTTTATAGACAGCAAAACTGAGGTTTACCCAGTTTGTGATTGATTTAAGACAACAGTGCAGTTCAGGGACAGCCCTCGAATGAAACCCAATCATTTCTGAGCCCCTGATAGAGTGCCTGATCCATGAGTCATCCTACCACTTACGTGGGTAAAACTATCAGTGAAACTGAAAAGTCCGACCGCTGGATACCAGAACTTTTGAAAACCCAGACTTCTCTTTAATTATGACAAATAATTTTTAAAATCTTTGTACTTCTAAGTCATGCAAACAATAAATAGGGATTTAATGAAATATATATCATTACAGGAATTCAATATACAGTGAATCTTATACCCTGGCCTCCAACCTCTCAAAGGAGAAAGAGTAGAAATAGAGATACAGTTTTATCACAAATGTAATTTTGCAATTACACGGCTTGGCATGTTGCCTTTTCTAGGTTTAACAATATATGACAGAGGTCATTCCATGATGCTACAAAAAGATTTGCCTTATTTTTTTACTGGCATAAGGCAAAGATTCAACCTATATGTGTACTGGGTTTCTCATCATAATTTAGCCCCTACTAGTTCCCTAAGGCAAATTATGCTATAGTGGTTGTCCTTGACCCAGTTTTTTGTGCACTTGTGAAATTATTGTGTCAAAAGATATGTGTCATTTAATTTTTTTCACCAATGTTCATAAGTTGTTTTTATTCTTTTATGTACGTTTTGTCTGTTTTATTCCATCTATACAAGTTCAACATATTGCCTTGATCTTCTGGAGTTGAAGCTACTGACATTGGCATGTGATAAATAATTTTTACCCATGCAAAACAGTACTTTCTAAAGACAAAACAAATGGTTAGATTTTTTTTTAATTATTTTCATTTGAGTTTTACGTGCTGAATGTATCTCTAGCTAAGAAGTGGTAAGAATGATTCCTAGGTTCCACGTACAGCCATGCACCACATCACAACACTGCGGTCCACGGCAGACCTCGTGTACAAAGGTGGTCCCACAAGATTACAATGCGGCCGAAAAATGTCTATCAGCTAGTGACGTCAGAGCCTCACAGCACAATGCATTCCTCACATCTGTGTGGTGATGCTGGTATAAACACACTGACTGTGCTGGCAATCCTAAAAGAGTCTGGCACATAGAATTATGTTCAGTGTATAATACTTGATAATATAAATGACTTTGTTACTGGTTTATGTGTTTACTATGCTGTATTTGTATTATTATTTTAGAGGGTACTTCTTCTATTTATTATAAAACCAAATTCACTGTAAAACATCCTCAGGCAGGTCCTTCAGGAGGTACTGCAGAAGAAGGTATTGTTTTCCTAGGAGATGACAGCTCTATGGGTGTTACTGCCCCTGAGGACCTTCCCTTGGGACAAGATGTGGAGTTGGAAGATGGAGATATTGATGGTCCTGAGCCTGCGTGGGCTTACGCTAATATATGCATTTGTGTCTTAGTTTTTAACAAAAAAGCTTAAAAAGTAAAAAAAAAATAAAAAATTTAAAACTAGAAAAAAGCTTTTAGAATAATGATATGAAGAAAAACCATGTTTGAACAGCTTTATGGAGTATTTGCATTTTAGGCTGAGTGTTATTACAAAAGAGTCAAAAAGTTTGAAAAAATTAAGAAGTTTGGAAAGTAAAAGGTTATATAGTAAGCTGAGGTTAACTTATTTTGAAGACAGAAAAAAATTATTTTAAATAAATTTAGTGTAGCCTAAGTGTACAGCGTTCCTAAAGTCTACAGTAGTGTACAGTCATGTCACAGGCCCTCACATTCACTCACCACTCACTGACTCACCCAGAGCAGCCTCCAGTCCTGCAGGCTTCATTCGTGGTAAGTACCCCGTGCAGTTGTACCATTTTTTTTTATCTTTTATACCATATTTTCTCTGTATCTTGTTAATGTGTAGATATGTTTAGATTCACAAATACTTAGCATTGTGCTATAACTTTCCTACAGTATTGAGTACAGTAACATGTTGTACAGGTTTGCAGCCTAGGAACAATAGGCTACACCATATGGCCTAGGTGGGTAGTAGGTTATGCCAGCTAGGTGTGTGCGAGAACATTCCATGGTGTTTGCACAGGGATGAAATTTCCTAATAAAGCATTTCTCAGAACGTATCCCCATCATTAAGCAGTGCATGACTGTATATCCATATATGTATATATGTACGTGTGTGTGTATATTCAACCGTGTTGTGGTAGGGCTTTCATTGTTGTTTTATTTTGCCAGCATTTGTCTTCACCATTATTATACAGAGTTTTAAAATCAGAATATGAACTTTCCTTCTATAAAAACATCTAAATTTATCCTCTGAGATATACTCCATGTCATATTAGTTTTTCAAAAATGTTCTTCCTCTCTTTTGGTAAAAATTTTATTGAGATATAATTCACATACCATACAACCCGCCCATTGAAAGTATACAATTTGGTGGTTTTCAGTATATTCTGAGTTGTGGAAAGCTGTCACCACAATCCGTTTTAGAACATTTTCATCACCCCTGAAAGAAACTCAGATTCTTTATCTCCCACCCATAATGCTGCCGTCCCTGTCATTTAAATTTTGAAAGATATCTTTGCCCTCCAAGGCAGCCGTATCAATTATGTTTCACCTGCAGTCCATCGAGTGACAGTTTCCTCATACTCTTCCTGTATTATCAGAACATTTCATCTTTATCAGCCTTGTAGATGAAAAATGATTTCCTGCTTCCATTTGCAGGGGCACTGAGCGTCTTTTCATGTTCCTTGGCTGTTTGTGTTACCTCTCAGTGAGCTTCTTGGTAAACCTAAATACAAGCAAATACATCAATGTCACTGCTTTAGTTATCCCATCCACAGGTACATGATACGTGAGGTGAAGGCCACTATGAAACTACTTCACACTGAACTTTAGAGGCAAGAGCGCTTTGCAGACGGGCCCCGTGCACTGGGAGCTCGTTCCCTGGACTGTCCTCGTGGGCAGCAGGGGACTGTGTTTTTCTCTGTAGGGTGACTTCATGCTTTCTCCCCATGTAGATAAAATTCTTGCTTCTCTACTTGACTTAATTTGACTTTGTGTCAATCTGTCAATCACTGTTTTGTAATTGACATTCTATGGTCTTTGTTCTATTTTCTTAACACCCAGTCATCCCAGGATAAACCTATCTTTATATATCTACCTCTTACCTCTTCTATGATTCCTAAGAGCTTTGTTCGCTAGCTCAGCTCCCTGGCGGAATCCTGATTACATTTTTTTCGTTGGAGGGTCTTTAGGGAGAGCTGGAGCTCGAGTAAACTGGGGTCTCAGAACTCCTGGGAACAGGCATGTCCTCACCCCTGCCACCACACCTGAGCCACATTGCCTATCAGTCATTGTTCATTAAGTTCCTTGTGTGGGGACTTAATGATCCCCACACAAGGGGATCAGAGGAAGGGGACCAGTGACCAGAGGAAGGGGAGGACTCTGGGGGTCCCCTGCCACGACCTCAGTACAAGGAACCACAAAGTCTCTGAGCAAGTCTGCCTTTCATACTAATAATTATTAGCAGGCAGCAAACTGTCAGCTTCCTTCCTGTGCCCTGAAACTTGGTGCCTTCCAGCTCTTTGTTCCTTAGAAACACCTCACCTAAAAGATCTGCTTGCAACAGATGTGGCAATATATTCAGGGGCACACCTAACTTAATACCCAAAGTGGACCATTTTTGACACCCTGTCTTCTATACCACAAAATTATTTTCAGCATCACCATGTAAAAATCAGTAATACACAACATTTTCCTGACTCACTACATAAATAATTTACAAAGAAGAAATTTCCATTTTCACGATATGATTTATTAATTGAGAAGAATTCAGTGCCAGTTGTGTCATATTCCTGCCAACCAGGCGTAAGCTCAATGGAATAAGAAGAAAACATCAGACGCACTAAATTCAGAGACATTCAACAAGTTTCCTGACCAGTTATCTTTAAAAGTGTCCAGGTTCTAAAAGTCTAGGAAAGACTGAGGAACTGTCCCAGCCTGAAGGAGACTAAGGAGACAGGAGCCTCCTTTGGAGCCACTTGGGATTCAGGGCTGGATTCCTTTGCTAGAAAGGACGTGGTCGGAACAACTCGTGAAACTGAAGTAGGTCTGAGCACTGGGCGGCGCTATTGTAGCAAATGTTTCTTTCCTGATTTTCATGACGGTGCTGTGGTTAAATTGGGGAAAGCCCTTATTTGTAGGGAATGTACGTGGGGAGATGTGGGGTTCATGTGCCACAGGTCAGCATCTTACTCTCAAATGGTTCCAGTTACACAGTAATGTCCTTGTACTGTACTTCTATGTTTTCTCTGTGGTTGTGATTTAAAAAATAAAAAGCCCCCAAGAGTTCAAAAACCTGAAAGGTAAGTCACTGTAGCAATTGTTCAGAACTTAGAGCAACAAAAGCCTTTTTTGAGAAGGAGTCCTTTTCACCGATATTGTTTCGAATTATTGGTGCAAAGCGCTCATCAAAAGCCAGGGATCTTTTCAAGTCAGTTTGGTTTTCGCTTGTAAATTCTCTACCTACAGTGCATCTCCTTACTGCCTGCACATGGAATGAACGGCTCCCACCACCCTGCCCTCAGTGCACCCTGATTGCACTGGGAGATCAGAGTTCTGCATTAAATGATGGGATGTGGGACACTGGCCCAACGGAAGCCCTCGGGTAGGCTAGGAAGACCACTGGGGACAGTGTTAGGCTGCTGGGCTGTGTGAAGGGTGTTAGGACACACCCTTCACACAAGGGCAAGGTGCCTGTGTAATATCTAGCCAATCCACCACTTATTTCACCAGAAGAAAAAAACGTTAACATCCCTTATGCTAATTAAACTTTTCAGAGCCAAATGTGGCAAAGAAGCCCTATTTTATTAGCTGCCTCTATAGCGTGGGACTTCTAATTAGGGTGTTTCAAATGCCATCTGGCAACCTTGGATGTATATTCCCGTCATCGGTAACCACCACTAGAGTCTGGATTACGGTTAATCAGCACCTATACCTGCTCATTCGATTTTAACGTAAATGCCAGTGTCTCCCCAGTTCGTAGCACAGCACGGCGAGCATGGTAGACCTTTGCAGAACGTAAATGATGTGTCTGTGTACCTCGGCATTTGCATTTGGGTGTGTGTGTAATCAGCTCCATTTGACCTAGACGTGGTAGATTGTCAAAGTCTTGGAAGCAGGTGTGCAGTTCAGGGAGCGGTCTTTAGAATGGAAGCACTCGGCTCTTGCCCACGGCACAGGGGAGGCACAGACACTAAGACAGAGCAGGCTTGGAGGGGGAGCTCAGGCAAGAGCGGTGGTGGCTGATGTCATTGCCTCATGCCCTGTTCTCAGCTGGCACACTTGAAGCAAACCACAACTCTGTGATTAGGGGTGGAGTGCCTATGCAAAAGAGATACCAAGTAGAAAACTTCAGGGTACCTGAAAGGAAGCCCCCACACCTTCTCTGAGATCATCCTGTTTGGCATTTTAGCTAGAATAGAGTAGCCTTAGGGGCCAGGCCCTATTCCTATCTCCAGCTTCCATAGTGTGCAGCTCTCAAGTCTTGAGGGACATAAGAGTCACCCAGGGATTTTGCTAAAAGTTGAGATCCTGAATTCCTGCCATATGGGCTCTGATTCACCCAGGGCATATTTCAAGCCTACATTTTTACCAAATGCCCCATATTTTTTATGTCTATGGACCACGGACCTTGTGACAACTTGCCCTAGAGGCCTTGCAATCAGAAAGCCCAAATTTGCCTTCCCAGCTCCTTCTGCAGCCACTGGATGACCTTGGGCAAGTCTCCAGACCTCCGTGAGGCTGCAGCTTCTCCTCAACATCCAGGGTCTGTCGTGAGGATCTAATAGGTAGAAAGGAAAGCACTTTACAAGCTGTGTAGCCCCTGCAGAAGTCCGAGGACCTCGCCCTGTTTATCACACCAGCCTTGAGGATCTGACCATGGAGGCTGAGGCCTTCCCATGCCTCCTACAGCCATTGTTTAAAGAAAGATCTTGTGCTTTGCACCCAGCCTTCCATACAGCAAAGTGCGAGAAACTACAAAAGGAGAAGGAGGAGCTGGAGAGGCGGTTCGAGGACGAGGTGAAGAGGCTGGGCTGGCAGCAGCAGGCCGAGCTCCAGGAGCTGGAGGAGCGGCTGCAGCTGCAATTCGAGGCAGAGATGGCGCGCCTGCAGGAGGAGCACCGTGACCAGCTGCTGAGCATCCGGTGTCAGCACCAGGAGCAGGTCAGTCCGCAGTGCCGCTCGAGCTCTGCTGTTGGGTGATGCAGGTGGCAGGCGGAGGGGATCCAGTGCCCCATTAGCAAGAAGTCCTATTCAGTAGGTGAGCTTTTCCAACAGTTCACTTTCTGAGTTGCTTTCTCCTTTCTCCCCCGTCCTCTCTTCTGCTCCAGCCACTCTGGCCTCCTTCACTCTTCCTCAGGGTTTTCACACTTGCCGTGTCCTCTGCCTGGAATGCTCTCCCTCCAGAGAGTGCATGACTCCCTCTTGCCCTCCCTTCCAGACTTTTCTCCAGGGTCACCTTTCTCAGTGAGATCTTTATCCAAAATTATTATTCCTCCCCCCACCACATACACACTCTTTCTGTCCCCCTCCCAGTGTTAGTGTTCCTTCACCACTTATCACTAACACATACATTTTGCTTTTCTACCTTATTTATCATCTTTCTATTCCATGAGGGCAGAAAGAATAACAAGCAAACATGTATCTAGCACTCGTCCTACACGGGACACTGCTGTAAGCTCTTTACATGAACTGACTCATTTAGTCCTCACAGTTCCCCTAATGAGGAAGGTACCATTCTTATTCCCATTTTACACGGGAGAAAGCCAAGCCCCCATGGTTCAGTAATTGCCAGAATTCACAGAGCTGGTCATGGAGAAGCCAGGGATGAGCCAGTCTGGCTCCACACCCCTGCTGTCAGCCACTAAGTTAGAATTGCCTGCCAGCTCTCCTGCTGGATCCTGGCACCTGGATCCATGCCTGGCGGAATATCCATTTGCTGAATGAAAGAATGAATGCCAATGGTTAACCTTTGCCCAGAAACCTTACTGGAAAGGAAAATGCATCCATGGACTAACCGGAGGATAATTCCCAGGGCGCTTGTCGGTATGAAAGCCAGAAGGAGGCAGGTGCTGCCACCCCCACTGCAGCCACCCTGTCCATGACTGCCGTTAGTACTGATGAGAGGCGGGCGGACGATTCAATGTACCCACCCTGCTTCCATGAGCACTGCTCCTTTCTTTTCTCTTATTTCTAAGTTCTCCAGCTCCAGTGCCTTCACCCCCACCTTCTAATTGATGTGTTGCTTTATATAGTGTGCTTATGATATGCTTAAGGTAAGTTGACATTTGTGAAGGGCACCCTTTAAATCTCACTTGGCATTCAGGTTAGTGTCGAGTGGCCTCTTCATTGTCAGAAACCCTTGGGCTGCCCTCCTCAGCTGCTTCCAAATGGACATCCCAGACGGCAATACCCACCCGGCCCTCCCACTGCCCCAGAAGAGGCTTGTGCATCTTAGGGGACCTGGGAGAAATTTAAGAGTAATACTAATTGCTGTCATTGTAATAAAAAATCTCTCTTACTTTATGACATTTTATTCTAGGCAGTATCTCAGGTTAGTCATTCTCCTTTCCTAGAGGCCTGTAAAAACCAGACACACCTCCCTGTTTGAGGTGGGTTAGACCATAGAGACTAGGAAACAGAATAGGTTACAGCTAAAGTTACCTGTTGGTGTTAAGATGCGAAACTGAACCCCCGGCGTCGTGCCTCCCAGTCTGTCTGCGTGTA